GACAAATTACCTACAATTAATCATTAGTAATAGATCCAGCTGCACTGAACCTTCTATGCATCAAGAAACTTGATAAAATGCTGCTTGTTCGTTTCAGTTTTATTAATGAAAAAAAAAAGAACTGCCGGACGTTGCTATGGGGAATGGCACGACTGGTTAAACTAGTGAGGTCGTGCCATCCAGCGAGGCCCAGTTCAACCAAGCATGCCTGCGATCTTGAAGGCCATGGATAAAAATTGTTCAATGGCAATTGTTACTGCTGTAGCTCCCGCTTCTTTCTCTCTGCTACTGCTACACTGTCGCCGGCCGCACGTTAAAACCTGGCAATGTTGGCCCGGCAACGGTGATGTAAGACGTTACGTTGAGGCAGATAATTTGAAGACGCTAACCCAAGCGCATTCCTAAAGCGCAATTTTATTTGAAAATAAGCCCTTTTTTTGGCACAAAAGTAACAATGAGATTTCTGGACCGCTATTTCAATAATAAACGTCAACTAAGTAGTTGCCTTTAGTGTCTCTTTAACAATAAAACTGTTGCACAACCCTATTTTGACGATTAGAAAAAGATAAAAAGGGAGAGACAAGCAAGAGTTTTTCAAAGAATTGAAAATTTATTCTTCTGGCTGTTCACCTTTAGAGAGGCTCTTTTGCTGACTGCTATTGCTTTTGGATATGCCTTCATTGCATACTGTTCCCTTGACACCTTGACAAAGCCAATATACGCCAAGTTGCTTATGAAAATCTGGTAGTTTTTTTTCGAGGTTTCGATATTTTCTTATTTTCAGCACGCAGTAATGTTTTCACGAAGGACATGCAGCTGAACGCCTTCGTTTATGCTACTCACGATCACGAGCCTCAGGCACACAAGAAAGACAAGACGCAGCTACATTTAGTGTACAAAATGACCTTCCTTTGTCATGCCCTTTCTTAATTAAAATGGCACATCACAATTTGCTACATTTCATTGGTAACAGATACGACGCACATAGGCCTTATGCAGAACAACGCAAACTGACTACAACATGTGCTCAGGTGCCATTGTGTGACAGCAATGACGATGCATCCGACTCCTCTAAAAAGAGTGCTTGTGCCACATTTACCTTTCATGTGAATATAAATGAAAGACAATCCTTGTTCTCGCTTTCACTTTCATGTGACTTTTCTCACCCACCCTCTCTTGCATTTCCCCTTTAACGATGCTCTTGTGTTCTTCTGTTTTCTACAGTACTCTTGTTGGGGAATAAAAAATGCGAGGATATGAAAGGACGAATGCTTCTTGTTGCCTTCTTTACTGATAAAGCCGGCCTTTTCTCCAGCTACAGGCTAGGGGTGACCGAAATACCAGCTTTTTGCACTGACCTTTCTTTTCCACTTATTTGCTTTCTCCCTCAATGTCACAATTTGTATTAGAATTGCTTTGAGTCTTAGTGCCAGGAAGTTTTTTTATTTTGCTTTCTCTTGTTCGCCTGAATCCCCATATAAAGACTATAATGTTCGTTGCACAGAATACCCATCGTTGTTGACCGCTGCGACAGTTTGTCTTAACGGAAGAGGCTTTTTACGCGGTTCGCCTTAAGCAGATCTTTCTTGCATTGAGTCTATGGGAAACCAAACAAACACTACCACGTTGTTCGTGTTGAGTAATAATTGATCTTAACGGGAGTTTACTGTATACAATACAACCTCGGTGTCTCGGGTGCTGACACCGCGATACCTTTATGAGTACTCCTATTGAGAGACTCCAGACTTGTATTTTAATTTAGGCAAACGTAGATTCACCTTGTAACTTTGTAACATTTGGCTCAAAGCAAAACAGGCCATGTAAACTGCTACTCACTGACTGCCTCACATGAAACCAATTCCCATAATGTGTGGCATTTACCAATTTTTTCAGTGATATGCACCAAGGATAGGAGAGAAGGCTAGGCCCGTCACTGGGGGTTTTGCCCCAGCGGCCCATCCCTCCTTTCTTATGAGTTTCTGATACAGGGTGTGTTTTACCAAAGATAAGTAATTAAAATGGCTGTTAATCGAAACTAGTCTTCAGCTGGTGCTTGCCACCTCTCCTAAAAGATGCCTGGCTGCCAGCCTGAAGAAGGGCGCTAACGCAGGCACAGAAAGCTTTAATTATGCCCGTGAATTTAATTTAGGACAGGCAATAATAATTGTCACATGGTAGAAAATATCATTTTCTACCACTACAGCTCTTGCGAATCTGAAGTTGCGAAGTTTGCCACTGAATATTGTTTTCTGGACGAGTATTAAAGTTGCGTTTATGTCACTGGAGCCAATTGGCATTAAGTTCTTTTGCTGAGAAATAAAAAGTGCATGCTACCATTTCTTGTAACTTTAATAGCAGTCATGTCAAAGGGTAAGAACTTGTAGACAACCAAGAAACTACCTAGCGAGCAAGTCTGTACGAAATAAACCATTCCCAAAGTCATAGGGATTGCTTAGTGTCCACAGTTGAATTATTGTGTTCTGAAAATCACTCGCCATGCAGTTAGAGACTTCATCAAATTTAAGGGGTCGCTTCAGTAGTTTGTGAACACATATTCTGCATATACAAATGCAGACATTTTAAACTGAATGTTTTACTTGTCAAGGGTCCATGATCCCTATTTGCAAAGCCTGAAATGAAAAAGAAGCGAGTATAAACGAACCCCTGTGAAATAGCTGTCGGACAGGATGGCCAACAGCCCGTTGTCAATGTACGAGGACTTAAGTTAAGCTCTAACCTATGGCCAGGGCTAAGGAGGGCTCCGCCCCCTAATGAAGTTGCCCAATGGGGGCTCATGCCCCCCAGCACCCCCACACTGAATCCCGTGAATCATCTGTACAAGTTTGTGTACCATCATATATAGGTGTGCCTACGAATAATCCATACGAATTCCTCTACCTCCATATAAAGATGTGACCACTTTGATATATATATACACATACACTCACACACTCACATTATATACAGAATGTTTATGAATTTATATTTTGCAGCACGATATACGTGATTTCAATACTGTATGTTTTAATATCACTTGCTATAACTTCGTATAGTATCAGTCTCTCAACAAAGAAAAAGGAAGCATACCGAAAGCAAGCGCTTAATAGAGGCACACTGTCTAGTGAGCATTCTTGAAAACAGAGTAACAGCTCTAGCATTCCCCTCTGGAACTAAAGTTACAGCGTGAGACTTTGCCCCTGCTTGAGAACACGGCGAGCCAGCTCCTAAAATCTAGAACTAAATGTCCCAAGGTTACTGCCAATTTTCTGGCCATGTTATTTTGGGACTCTATGCCTTTGTTGTATTACTATACTATTTTATGAGGGAAATTAAAAGGTTGCACAAAAAAAAATACGTTCAGAAGGGATGGTACAGGTTTTTTCATGCAACTTTTCAATTTCAAGCGTTTTGAAAACACATGGCCAAGAAAGAGTTTTACTCAAATACATTTTATCTTTATATTTTTCAGTCAAATCTGCATAGATACATGTAGTTGATGTGATCAATTTGTCATTACCAATTTATTCATTTATTCGCATTATTTAAAGATTTCTTCTCGCTGCTCATCTGCATGTGCATATTGCTTTTTGCATATTCTACTCTAATTTATTAGGAGGTCCTCTGTATGGGCTCTTGACTTGTATTCTGCATATGTAATCCCTATTTGTAACCTTATTTTGTGCTGTGGAAGAAAGCTGGTTTGTTGGCTGTTTTTGGGCTGCATGTTTTGTCCTCTTAGAACTTGGACCCCTATGATGGGTGTATGGAAATCATGGTGAAGCTGTTATCATAATGCCTTTGGCCTAGTATTGAGTGAAAAGAGTGTGCAACGAAAATCACTGCAATCTGTGGGATTGTGTGAATATTTGAGTGCTTTGAATATTCCAACTCAGTTTGATTCGAAATTGAAGTCTTTGCAAATTTCAAAGTATTCTAATAGTGAATAGGTGTGCAGTGAAGCTATCTTTACCCCAGTGACACTTTTGTAAAGTGGCTTCACTGAAGCGGGCACCTGTTAATGCTCCTATGCAGGAGAAACTGGTGTGAAGGTTACATAAATGTGTTATTGATGTTTTATGCTTAAGAGTTATACCTGCCTATATGCCCTAACTGCAGCACATTATAATATGTAACATATTTTATCGGTTATCACTTGCATTCTATCAAAAGTCAAATCCTGCGACTATTTATGGCTGTTGCCACTTCTCTCTGAACCAAAAAGATGACATTTGCGCATGCTTTGTTTCGATTATTGGATATATATGCTATTCATGAAATAAAATGGTATATATATGCTATTCAAATTAGATTTGAAATTACTTGTGCAAACCACTTTTTCTTCAAATTTTTCAAACCTAAAATCTACTATTTGCACAAGCCTAGTAATTTATTTCAGTACCTGGCATGCCTTTTTTACTGTGCGCTGAATGTTGGTTGAATGAATATGGTTGAATATGGTGCTGTCATCTGATGTAGAAGTTTTGTACCAGATGCAAGGTTCCCACTTAGCTACAGCCTCGAGGGAAGGTGCTAAGCTAAATCCGACAACAGTGCCTTGAACAGTGGCTCCCCCTCTTTCAAGCCCACTTGTACGCAATTTGCTATCTTGCTCAGTGTTCACTTGGCAGCCATCAGAAATGGAATTGTTGATCACTCCTCCCGTCAAGTTCTAGGCTTCAGCAGAAGTTCGTTTTCTCCCCACAAGGATGTTACCGCCCGTAGAGATTCATTGGCAGCTGACTGTGGTTTGTGGTGAAGAGACTTAGGAATACAAAAGCTGAAACACCATCTCTAAAAGTGCTTGGAAAAAAATGAAAACCTTGTTAAAGAATACACAGAAATGCAGGTTTTTCAATGATGTAATAAATAATAACAAAAAAAAATGTTTTCTATTTTTGAAAAATATGGGGACCTTACTTTTGGTACAACGCTCATAATTTCAAATGATATTTATATATGTCTTATAGTTTGTCTGCTTCTCTTTCCTTTCTGTTTTTCAGACTAAAGACTTTTGCGAGTTACGTGAAGAACGAGAGTATGTGACCATCTCGCAGTGGACTGACAAGTACGTAATAATGACTTGCAAATTTCTACATGGGCACTTGGCAGTGAGCTTTGCTGTGATTATTTTGTTTGCTTGAAATTTTCAGCGAAGATTTACAGGTAACAAATTTCATCAGGCTTTTAAGCTGCTTGTTCTTCACTGGATCTGCATGAGGTTTACCTACACACTACAATATTTGTTAAATTGGTTAAAAAGATGTGGGACAGTTTGCCACAAAGGTTTTTTTGTGACAAACTGTTCAAATGTTCAGATGTTGCAGAGGAAGATACACATGGTCACATTACAGCTGAAGTGTATACGGGGCACAACGGAAATGCATTCATTCTGTAGTACACACTAGGATTTTAGCTTATACCAATTGTTTCAGAGTTTGTCACATTGGCATTAAACGTGCAAGCGAGTAAGCAAAGCAGGTTGGCCAGGCAGCACCATCTGCATCCTTGCAGGTCTGCCTATTGATGCTGCCCCCATAGTTGCCCCCTGTGGAGGGGCCTTAAGTGTTGAGAATACTCATATTAAAAAAAAAATATAAGTTCTTATTTTTAATAAACACATTGGTTGGTTTCCACTTTCAAATGTTATCTGCTTCCCAACAAGAGAGAAGTCTGTCAAGACCGTATTGCATCATATTATCCATGAACAGATTTCCTGGTTTTCTAAAGTATCATTTGCATCACACATCACAAGACGTTCTTGCGTACAAATCTCTCATCAGATATTAACTACAGTATGCATCTAGGAATGAACAAACTCGAATCTTTACAAAACCATGCCACTAGGTTCATTCATTATTCATAGGACATACCATAAAATTCCTAGTCCCCCCCCCCCCTACAGTGAAGAATAATTCAACAAGATTTCGAAGGAGCGACCACTTAGGGAAATCGAAGATAGTGGTGGAACAGCCGCTCAGGAATAGGTGCACAGCTGTGCTTCTCATGGAATGTTTTTTGCATACACATGCAATCAGTTTTCATTCTCCTATGTCAGACGTATAATAACACTGAATGAAGAAGTCACAGCTTCATCGCAATGGTGGAACGATGATTGCGTAGCAATGAATTGTAATATTATATGAAGTGACGTTGGCAGCTCTTCTGGATCCGATTTCACGCAATTCTATAAAACTTTGGTGTAAAAGAATTCTATTGCTCCAGGCACACATTTCCGCACTTGTAAAATCAAAGATAGCAGTTATTGCTCAAGGAGCACCTCTCCTTCCCTCCCCCACTTCGTGTCTTTTCATGCTCGTTGAAGACATGTGGGACGCTTCCTCTATGCTTGAGCATTCGATAGACACTCTAACAGGCAGGGGGATCTTGTCACATGTGCCCTCTTAGGGACAAAGATGGGCTGGCTTGTTTGGTTTCTGCTTCAATTGCGTTTTTCACACACATGCCCTCTCGCACGTTATTACTGGCCGGTAGAACGCACATTGTGCTCAGAAATCTTATCAATTTGAAGTTTATACGCAACATCACATCGATAGCACCAGCGATGGCAAAGACCCGTTGAGACTGTCCATGTAATTGCTATCGCAATAAAAGTTCGAATGGTGGGAGGAGGGAAGAGGCGGCATATTTGAAATTTCCTGTACAAGGCAGGCGGGTGCTTGCTGAGAATCTTGCAGTAAGCACATCATTCCTAAATCTTGAAACTCGTCTTGCTAATTTTTCTTTACTTTGCTCCATTGCCAGCCCAAGTTTGCTTGGCAAACTTTATCTGTTTCTTCAATCACACACCCCTATGCGAGATTTTAACGCATGGTAATAGTGGGTTTCTAATTTATTTTGCTTGTTTTCTCGCATTTTGTGAGCATTATATAATTCCGTTCTTGAAAATAAATTTTGTTTGAAGTAAGCGCTCCCCTTTGTCCCTTTCCTTGTCCTGTGTCTCGCATATTTTATGCGCTACATCATTAGTTATGTCTTGCCAACATGCCAGCAAAACCACTGATGCACTTATCTCACTGCATCTTTTCCGATTGCACGTGCTGAAGAGCACAGGCCTCTGTCTGAAAAAAGGGTGCCTGAGGCAATGGCAACTTTGTACTCTGCTCCTAATTTTTTCGTACCATGCACAACTGCAAGTCTTTGCTGGGCTTAGTTTCCAATACGTTATTTAACCTACAGTGTCTAATGAAAATGAGAGCTAACAGACAATGATGCCAAGATAAGTATAGGGATGTTATTAGTAGTAATGTAAATGTGAAAGTAGAAACGTGAATGAAAAAGATAACTTGCTCCTGGCAGGGACTGAACATGCGACCTGACCAACAATTCCATGTTAAAATGCATATACGTACCCCATGCCGCCCCTGTAACTCGGAGCATCTGATGCATTAACCGAAGGTTGCAAATTCAGTCCCTGCCAGTGGCAAGTTGTCGTTATGTCTACATTTACATCACAATTCAGACAAATAACATCCCCTATACCTTGCTTCTTGTCTGTTAGTCCTGATAATATTGGGCCTAACTAGGAAGAACGAGCCTTTAGAGGGGCCCCGCGACAGTATTTGAGCATGTATATTTCATCGGTTTTTGTAGTGCTGAGGCATGCGCCGATATCGTCGCGCAAATGGCAACGTCGAAATCGACATGGTTATAATTTTAATTCACGGGACAAACTACCTTTATTTCAGACCACAGCGACGCACATCGGCTATTTTTGTTATGGAAAGTGACGTCATGTCATGTGACGTGACGACAAGGACCGTTTGCTTTTTAGTGGCTTGACAAGACAAATAGCGTGCAATAATCATAAGGTGGTAGCTAGGCTATAGGAGTGAATGCTAAAAACAGCAAAAACTTTTTTTACTCTTTCTCAGAAAGAAATAATTTCTGTTTCTAAATAATGTAGAACAACGAACGCAACACTTAGCCTGCAAACTAAGCTATAACACGCCAGCAAGTAATGGTGGAAACACATGCCACAATTTCAGCGAGCCAAAAATGAGACAGGCAGTGGGCAATACCGTTGCCATAGAATGAATCTTCCAAGCAAGGTGAGAAGTGACTCCACCCAAAGCATATGTATCTTACACAGTTTGACCATGGGAGCGTCTGCAACCCGACGCACGTGGTTCGTAGTAACCATGCTTACGACGCCGTCAAAGATAGCAGTAGCAAGGTATTATGCGAAGGCCACCATGAGGTGACATTTCCGGTATGTTTTTATGAGACGCGTGCTGTGATTGGAAGCGGTCTTTCACGTCACCATGCGAGTGAAATACGAAAGAGAATGTTTCTAGTCATCGTCAGCTCAAGTTTTGAACTTTGAGGACTCTTTACTTTCCGTGCACTAATTTCCATAATTATTGTTGCATTCGTCTTGGTAACCATCACTGCATGCATTGCGACACTAAATAAAGCTGTCCCAAAAGTATCACAGGGCCCTTTAAATTCCCACTTTTTAGTGTTTATTGTAAGCACATTTAACAGATTTAGTCTATACCATTAAGTTTCATGCAATAATACCTAGAGAGTAATCTGGCACTGCGATCGTGTATCTGCATGGCAATTATGGGAAGTTCTGGGAATCGAGGCTAGCCCACCGCCTTTGTGCGGGCTTTGCCCCCTCTTTCTGCATTCTCATGTCCCAACATAACTCTTCTCTCCTTCGCGGTCTGCTGCACTGCGAAAGCGGGGAGTGACGTTTAGCCCCTCTCACCCGGCAGCGACTGTGGCGCCGTGTGCAGAGTCTCTCGGGACGTTTTGTACGCGTGCGTTGGGAGCAAGAAAGAACCTCTCCGGAACGACTTGGGGTAAGCATGCATTTCTTTCCCGTCCGTCGGCTTCCTTTCTATGGGGCTCGTTCAGACTTCGCCAACAACGTCTTGCACCCGCGACGAACGCTTATGTTTTGTTGCCCCTTCCGAACGCTAGGCTGAAGAGTGGTGCGGTGTCCTAGTGTGTAGTCAAACTACACCGGTCCGTACCTCTTGGAAGCCAACGTGAGCGGAATTCGCCCTCGCTCAAGCGACCGGGCCCTTTTGTCCCGGTGTCCCCACTAATTATTTTTGCTCATGAAGACGTGCTCGCGGCACCCTGTGTACCTCGCGGGGGTGTCTGCGTAAGCAGGTGTTTGGTGCGTAGCGACACCACGGACCCGAGCCAAAGGGGGTGTTTCTACTCCCTCCCACACCTAGCCGTGCGTAACTTTGCTGTGTCCGGGGAAAAGGGGATCCTGGGGGTTCTTTAAGGCCCCCCGGCAGAGGCAACACACCCCTTTGGCCCCGGCTTCACGTAGACGGCACCCCTGGGCTGACCCACCCAGGGGGAATTGGCAGTCGCCTTTTCCTATCTCTCTCTACCTACATCTTCTTTATCTCTCACTGTTTATCTGTCTTCCAAATTTTCTTCCAAATTTTCTGGCGGCGAGGGTTAACCCTGTGTAGTTACCCAACCTTGGGTAGTTATATTCGGTTGTAGCAGCGATGCATGGCTGGCGTCTCCAAGTGCTCACTATTCAACCTTGTAGCGTCCCCTTGTTGGGCTCGGTTGTGGGTGGCCACCATCGCCGCTGAACTGTACACAATCTGTATGGCCAACTTTCTCCCCCCTCTCCCTGATCACCGCCCCAAAAGGTGGCACACTGAAGAACCGTTTCTTTTTTCCAAACCGAAGCAGTCCTTTCCCAAGTTTCATGTCGTCCATAGCCAAAAAGAGAACAAAACAGTCCGAGCAATCTCACCTTTTTTATTTTATTTTATTTAAGACATACTGCAGTCCGAAGACCAAGCAGGTGGGCAGGGATTAATTACATAGAAAACATCAATCCGCATGGTAAATTGGTACACAATTCTGAAAACAGTCCAACAAGTGTGAAAAAACAAAAAAGATAGCAGTACATAAAGAAACATAGCGGCACATTGAATGTTTAAAATATTGCAGAAAGTACACGCTTTTCAAAATCCGACACATCACGCGCCGAGAACACATCAACAGGCAATCTATTCCACTGCTCGATTGTGCGGGGAAAGAAGGAGTGCTTAAAAGGTT